TCACTCAAGGACAAGGAGATCAAGTCTATATGGGAAATGACAGTACTGCTGAGGTAAGAGGAGTAGGAACAGTAGAGATAAAACTCAATTCCACAACGTATCTGTTTCTGTCTAATGTGTTGTATGTCCCCACTATGCGGAGGAACTTGGTCTCAGGGCCCTTGTTGGTTAGGGCCGGGATCAAACTTGTGTTTGAATCCGAGAGAATGATCATGACCCGTAGAGGGGAGTACCTAGGGAAGGCTTATTTACGTGGGGGGCTGTTTGTTTTGCCCCTCATTGCATTCACTTCTGCAAACTTTGAAACTTTCATGAATAATCTTGCCACACGTAATGGCGGTTCTGCGTATATTGCTGTTTCTTTTGATGTATGGCATGCTAGATTAGGACACGTTGGTCTCAAATGCATGAGTAGATTAAAAACCATGAATATGCTCTCAAACGTGCAAGATGATTCGCTTTCTCAATGTGAAGTATGTGCTGAAGCTAAACTAGCTAGAAAACCTTTCATTACTGCAAAGCATCATACAACTTGTGCTCTAGAGTTAATACACTCAGACATAGCTGATTTTAAAAATACTGAGACAAAAGGGGGAAAGCGATTTTATATATCCTTTATAGATGATTTCACTCGTTTTTCAAAGATATATCTTCTTAGAACTAAAGATGAGGCAGAACAAAAATTTGTAAGCTTTAAAACTGAAGTAGAAAATCAGTTAGAAAAAAAGATAAAAAGACTTAGGTCTGACAGAGGTGGAGAGTATGAGTCTACCTCCCTCAAAACCTTTTGTGAAAAACATGGAATCATCCATGAGGTGACAACACCCTATACACCACAACAAAATGGTGTGGCTGAAAGGAAAAATAGAACCCTAAAGGAAATGATAAATGCTTTTCTAATAAGCGCAGGCGCTTCTAACTCTTTGTGGGGGGAAGCTGCATTAACAGCTAACCACGTCCTCAACAGGATACCTCACAAAGGTTATGAAAAAACTCCATATGAGCTATGAAAAAGTTACGCCCCCAATCTAAAATACTTCAAAGTGTGGGGGTGCCTGGCCAAGGTAGGTCTTCCTTACTTCAAGAAACCTAATCTTGGCCCTAAAACCTCAGATGCAATATTTGTGGGGTATGCAGAAAATAGCGCTGCATATAGATTTATGTACCTAGACGGCCATTCTATGTGCGAGGCACGAGAGGCCGAGTTCTTCGAACACATATTCCCACTAAAACGTGGATCAAATACCTATGAAAAAGTCTCGTCCTCACTACCTTCAACTTCTGAAACAGAACTTGAGTCAGAAGAACCTAGAAGGAGTAAGAGAAAAAGGACCGAGACAAGTTTTGGGCCTGATTTCATTACGTACATTTCTGAACTAAATGACATTAATGAAATTTCTAATCAGTTTGTGTGTCAGTTAATTCTAGAGGAGGAACCAAAATCCTTTGAGGCAGCTATGCGGTCAGTCGATGCTGTCTTCTGGAAAGAAGCAATACAAAGTGAGCTAGATTCAATCAAATCTAATCACACTTGGGAGGTTGTAGATCGACCGAAGGGAGCCAAACCTATTGGCTGTAAGTGGATCTTCAAAAGGAAGATGAGACCCGACAGGTCGATTGAAAGGTTCAAAGCAAGACTTGTGGCTAAGGGATATAAACAGAAGTTTGGTGAAGACTACTTCTGCACCTATTCTCCTGTAACGAAAATAGCCACAATACGCATATTGTTTGCTCTAGCGTCTTCTCACAAGTGGCTGGTCCATCAAATGGATGTAAAAACAGCTTTCCTAAATGGAGACCTGGAAGAAGAAATTTACATGTCTCAACCTCCTGGATGCGCCAACCCCGGGCAAGAAGGGAAGGTATGTAGACTAGTAAAATCCCTACATGGGTTAAAGCAAGCTCCCAAACAGTGGTACGAGAAGTTCCACAAAACACTGTTACATCTGGGATACACGGTAAACCGATCAGATGCTTGTTTGTACTCAAAAGAGATTGAGTCTAGCATTGTCTTGATTTGCATTTATGTAGATGATATGCTAATCTTTAGCTCAAATATAAATGCAATAAAAGAGACAAAGAGGTCTCTGTGTGACAAGTTTGATATGAAAGATATGGGCGAAGCTGATGTGATACTTGGAGTGAAAGTCATCAAAGAGAAAGATGGCTACAAGTTATCACAGGGTCACTACACCGAGAAACTGCTAAAGAAGTTTAACAGTTTTGAAGTGAACCCTGCTCAAACTCCATATGACCCAAGTGCAAAACTCTCGAAAAACACAGAGGCAAGTGTGTCTCAAGAGGAATATGCGAAAATAATCGGGAGTCTGATGTTCTTAATGAACTATACCAGACCTGATATTGCACTTGCGGTAAATCGACTAGGTCGATACACTCATAATCCCAGCGATACCCATTGGAATGCACTAAAGAGGGTGTTACGCTATCTAAAGGGAACGATGAACTGGGGATTGCACTTTTCTGGCTTCCCAGCGTCCCTAGAGGGGTATTGCGATGCGAATTGGGTGAATGATAGTGATGAGGTGAGCTCCACCAGCGGGTATGTTTTTACCATGGGAGGAGCAGCAGTATCGTGGAAGTCCACGAAACAGGCGTGCATAACCAGATCAACGATGGAAGCTGAATTTATAGCTCTTGATCTAGCAGGGCAAGAGGCTGAGTGGCTTAGAAACCTACTGGCAGACGTGCCAGTGTGGGGGTCTTCTACGCCGTCAGTGCCCATACATTGTGACTCGCAAGCTGCGATATGCGTAGCAAAAAATAGTGCCTATAATGGTAAGAGGAGACACATAAGAGTCAGACATGAGTCTGTGAGACAACTAATTCTAAGTGGCATACATTTAACCCCCATTGCCCGGGAAAATACGCAAGAGGACTCCTTTTCTTGGCCTTACTTAGGTACAAGTCTCTTCTTCGTTAGGTCTGCTTTTGACTTTATTGCAGGTAATCTGGAGGAAGATGATGATAATGGCTGGCTCTGGCGTATTAAATGTACGGAGAAGATCAAATTGTTCCTTTGGAAGATTACAAATAATGAAGGAAGCGGGGATTGACGAACGATGGAGGCTGTCCGAGATGTGGAAACTTATTTGATTCCATTAGAGATGCAATCTCTAAACCGAATAAATCAAAAATGCTTTACTGTATGCTTTAATTATTTCCTAACACCGTGCTCCAATAACCAACTCCAAAATGTTTCATAATGATCTTCAATTGATTCCTTGGCTCAAAACTACTTGATTAGTGTAATTCCAAAATGCTTCATTTTCTCACTAGTTTTGAATAATAATTGTACCTAGAGATGAAAACAACACCGCTAAGCCATAATACACACAAGATTGAACCAATATAATTCTAAAATATGAACATTTACACACTTATTATCACCCATCCTGAGGAGTTTGACACTTATGATGACTGAGGTTGTTAGAGTGGCAGGATTATAGTGCTTGTGGCAATTTTATTATTTTCTTTTCGATTTTATTCGAAAAAAATAAGTAATTCATTCTTCATTCATTTCTTACTAATGTTGTATAATAGATGAAATGATCGAGTAGGTAATTTGGGCAAATTATACCAATCGTTATGCTGTGCATCCGTATGCACCATGCATGGTGCATACGGATGCCAAAACGACGTCGTTTTATTAAAATACGCGCGTCTCCCCTTTAAAAAAAAATTCAGGTTCAATTCCCAGCAACAACATTATATTGTTCATTCATTCTGAAATTTTAGTTCATAGATTATGGAATTATAGTTCATCGATTATGGAATTGTAGTTCATCGATTCTGAAATTTTAGTTTATAGATTATGGAATTTTAGTTCATTCATTCTGCAATTTTTAGTTCATAGATTAGATTATGGAATTATAGTTCATCGATTATGGAATTATAGTTCATCGATTATAGAATTATAGTTCATCGATTATGGAATTTTAGTTCATATGTTGTTGCTGGGAATCGAACCTGATTTTTTTTTAAGGGGAGACGCGCGTTTTATTAAAACGACGTCGTTTTTGCATCCGTATGCACCATGCATGGTGCATACGGATGCACAACATAATTTGCCAAATTATACCGTGCATCAGGGCGCACAATGCATTATGCGCCTTGGCCCAAACAACGTCGTTTTGTACCTTTTTTGTGTGTCTATCGTTAACTCCTTAAAAAAAAAAAAAATCAAGTTTCGAATGTACAGAATTATATAATAGAAAACACATAATTTTATACTTGAAAACACATAATTTTATACCTAAAAATCCTCATGTTTCGAATGTTCAGAATTATATAATAGAAAACACAGAATTATATAATAGATAACACAGAATTTTATATCTGAAAACACATAATTTTATAGCTGAAAATACCCATGTTTCGAATGTACAGAATTATATAATAGAAAACACATAATTTTATACCTGAAAACACATAATCTTTTTTAAAAAGATAAAAATCCCCTGTTTCGAATGTACATAATTTTATACCTGAAAACACAGAATTTTATACCTAAAAACATAGAATTTTATAACTGAATACACATACATTTTCATCGCGTTAATTCCCACACAACTTAATAAAACGATGTCGTTTGGAAGGCGCGGGGCGCATATTGCTATGTGCGCCTTGGTACGCGGTATAACGATGGGGTAATTTGTAGTGATCATTGCTTGGATACTTACACTCTTGGATATTGGGCTTTCCCTAGCCACTCGAAAAGAATTGAAGATGAGTTTGTTTTTTCAAGCTAGAATTGAAGCGTGAGTTATGCATGCATATATGCGTGGCCGGAAAACTAGTGCGTGTTTGAGAAATGATTGGATTTTAGTTTATGAAAACGTGTTTTTACTGCTCTTACTGCGTGTACAGTAGTGCACTTTTTGAATTCAATTATGGAGTCTATACATACAGACAAATCATTTTTTGTCTCATTTCCAGTACGATGGTAATTGCTGAATACCAACCATTCCAACCAATAATGCAAGCTAGAGATAAGATGATGTGTGTCTACAAAAAGGAGAAGCCACCCGGCCTGAACGAAGGAGACTGCAATGCACCATGGCCATGGGGTCTCTCCAACCGATCTCTCTCAACCACAACTACCACACCATCTTTGCTGAGCCGCCATTGATGAACATAACCAAACCTACTACTGCAAAACCTTCCAATTCCTTCTTTCCCTTAACACTATCGTCTCCCCAAAAGCCATATTCATCCCTGAAATGCAGAGATTCTCTCCCTGCTGCCATTCCCGAATCATCCAATAAGCATGACGAAGAAGAAGAAGATGGTGATGATGAAGAAGGAAGAAATCTGCATGAAATATGGGCGGAGATTCAAGGATCCAAAGATTGGGAAGGGCTGCTGGACCCCATGGACTCCCATCTCCGCCGCGAAATCATCCGCTACGGCGAGTTCGCTCAGGCCTGCTACGACTCCTTCGACTTCGACCCGCACTCCAAGTACTGCGGCACCTGCAAGTACGACGGCGCCCAGTTCTTCGAGAAGCTGGGCATGGCGGACCGCGGCTACCGCATCAGCCGCTACCTCTACGCCACCTCCAACATCAACCTCCCCAACTTCTTCCAGCATTCCAGCGTGAATAGAATCTGGAGCCAACACGCCAATTGGATGGGCTATGTTGCCGTCGCTACCGACGAGGCGGAGATCCGACGGCTGGGCCGCCGCGACATCGTTATCGCGTGGCGTGGCACCGTTACCTACCTGGAGTGGATCCACGACCTCAAGAACATCCTCCACCCCACCCATTTCCGCGACGATCCCGACATCAAAATCGAGTCCGGTTTCTTCGATCTCTACACCAATTCCAAGAAAGACACTGACTGCAACTTCTGCTCATATTCCGCCCGGGAACAGCTCCTGGCCGAGGTCAACCGTTTAATCGAGAGATACAAAGGGGAGAATCTAAGCATCACTGTTACCGGGCACAGCCTCGGAGCGGCCTTAGCTCTGTTAAGCGCATACGACATTGCAGAAATGAAAGTTAACGTTGTACAGGAAGGCGAAGGCGAAGGCGATGGCGAGTCTTCTTCTGCATCAGCAGCAATTAAGATTCCGATTTCTGTTTTCTCCTTCGCCGGTCCCAGAGTGGGCAACCTTAGATTTAAAGAAAGGTGTGACGAGCTCGGGATTAAGGTTCTGAGAATCGTTAATGTTCGCGACAAGGTTCCGACCGTGCCCGGGATTATCGCCAACGAGAAATTCCAATATCAAAAGCAACTGGAAACCATGCTCAAGAGTTTCCCATGGAGCTATGCGCATGTGGGAGTGGAATTAGCGCTTGACCACTCCTATTCTCCGTTTCTAAAGACCGGCACCGATCTCGGCTGCGCCCATAACCTGGAAGGACACCTGCACCTCGTCGACGGGTACCACGGCGACGGCCGCCGGTTCCGCTCGGCGACAGGACGGGATATTGCGCTGGTGAACAAAGACTCCAACTTCTTGAAGCGGGAGCACGGCGTGCCGCCGCGGTGGAGGCAGGATGAGAATAAAGGGATGGTGAGGACCAGCGACGGCCGGTGGGTGGTGCCGGAGCGCTCCAGGATCGAGGCGCATCCTTCCGACACCGGCCATCACTTCCGCAAGGTTCTCCGCCTTGCTCGGGCAAGATTTGAGTTATTCGAGAAGGGAGTGCAAGTTTTTACTGAATGAGAGGGTTTCATTGAAATATCACCACGTATTGGAGAACATGTGCTTTGGTGAGAACGTGAGAACAATCATTTGTATCCATATAATATTATTTAATGATTTAGATTAGATTAAGTGTATCTAATATTATTTAATGATCTAGATTAAATTAAGTGTGTGCGAATGCATATTAAATGTGTGTAAACAGACTAAATCGCGTTTGCACATATTTAATGCACATTCGCACACACTTAATCTAATCTAGACTATTAAAAAAATTAGATGGATGCACATAATGTATTCTCACATGATGCGTTCTCACGTTCTCACCTAAGCACATATTCTCATATGATACTAAATCTATATATATATATATATATATATATATATATATATATATATATATATATATATATATGCATATATATATATGCTCTACAAGTAACCTTATTCTTATGTTAAATATTCATTCCATTCTAAACCTATTGAACTAGTATTTTCACCCGTGCGATGTATGGAATGAATTTGTTGTAATATATTAAGAATATTTGAATCGATATATAATTATTTAAATTAGAACATCAAATATTATATAGTGCAATTAAAGATATGGTTTGGATCGTTTATGTATTTTGATGTTATTGTTGCTTGAATTTGTGCAAATAATTGCTCAATTAATAGCTAATGTCTAGATGTACGCATGCGGTGCTATAACTTTAAAGATTTTATTTATCATTGTTTAGTATTTTTCATAAATTAGGCAAATGTGCTCGTTCTCTAACATCTCAGTTATAGGAATGAATTGCTATCCTAATTCATTTGTATGGAAGATATATTTTTTGTCTAGATGTATAGCAATTTTTCCATCTAAAAAAACACAATATCACAGATTATATTTACACATTATTGAAACCTCTTTGTAGACGACATTGGTAGTGGCAGTACAATCTTGTCCATCCTCGTCTAGAGTTAACACGTTCAGTCCATTAGGACGGGTTACTCGGGTGAAAATATATAATGGTAGAATATCACTCAATTAGTGATCCTTTTATATTTTCAGTCAATTAGTAATATCAGATTCATTTTCAGTCAATTATTCTTTTTTTATTTTTAGTCAATTAGTAAATTAGAATATCAAATGCAATGATATTTATACCTAATTTTTGTTCCATTTTTAATTGATGATGTAGATATTATTATTGAAATATTTCCATTTCATTTTTAATTTACCTTTATTATTGTTTAAATTATGCATTTACTATTGAAGATATAGAATATTATTATTGAAATATTTTCGTCCAATTTTTAATTTTCGTTCTATTTTTAATTAAAATGTAATGATATGATCATTTCTTTTTTTTTTTCTTTAGTCAATTATGGATCATTTTTATTGGCTATGCACATAATAGTAGTGCTTATCGATTCTTAGTACACGAGTCCCATAATCTGGACGTACATGAGAACACGAATAATAGAGTCAAGGAATGCATATTTCTTTGAAAATATATTTCCTTGCAGGTCCAACGAGGGATCGAGTACGTCAAAACGAACGTTTGACGAAACTATGGATAATGATAGTGGGGAATCTGAGAAAGAACCCGAGCTCGAGCCGAGACGCAGTAAGCGGGCAAGAGTTGAGAAATCATTCGGTCCTGATTTTCTAACTTACTTGTTAGAGTATGACTCGAGTACTCTAACTTATTTATTAGAAAATGAACCTGATTTTCTATCTTGTTTGATAGAGAATGACCGTCGAACGTATGTAGAAGCTGTGACTTCTACAGAATGACCAATGTGGAAAGAGGCTATAAACAGCGAAGTGGATTCTATTCTACAGAATCACACTTGGGAACTTGTTGATCTTCCTCCGAGTAGTAAACCCTTAGGATCCAAGTGGGTCTTTAAAAGGAAGATGAAACCTGATGGTTCCATCGAGAAGTATAAGGCTAGACTTGTAATCAAGGGTTACAAGCAACACGAGGGCCTTGATTACTTCGACACATATTATCCCGTGACGAGAATAAACTCCATTAGGATGATACTTGCCATAGGCGCGTTACGGAACTTGGAAGTTCACCAAATGGATGTGAAAACCGCTTTCCTAAACGGCGAATTAGATGAGGAAATCTATATGGAACAACCCGAGGGGTTTGTGGTTCCGGGCTAAGAAAGGAAAGTGTGTAAGTTGGTTAAATCACTCTATGGTTTGAAACAAGTGCCTAAGCAGTGGCACGAGAAGTTTGACCATGCAATGTTAACTAATAGATTTAAAATAAACGAAAGTGAAAAATGTATTTACGTTAAGGAAACGATAGACGGCTGATAGTACTAATTCCCGGTGGTCGGTTGTATGTACTGTGTATATGAGATGTAGAATCTATGTAGAATGAACAAGGAACAGAGAGATATATCAAAAGGGCTTCTTTTATTCATTGTGTTCTCTGATCTATTTGGTATAGAGAGAAGGGAGAGTAGATAATGCATAGAGAGAGAAAGAGAGAGTCGAGATGGTGGAAATGAACCAAAAAGCCCCTAATTTAGAGGGCCAAGAGCTCTTTTATAGGGGCAAGGAGGTGGCAGGTTTGACCCGTCTCGGGTTTGACCTGTCACCTCTGACCTCGACCCGTAGACCGGGATTAAACCGTTTGGCCCTGACCCGACTATAAGCGGGAACACGGACTCAGGGTATATATCCTATCAAGAAGCCCCTCCAGTCCGTGCCCTGACGACGAGTTAACGAGGAAGGGTTCGGACTGAAAAAACTAGTTACACAGTCCGTGACATGCGCCGGTTGCCTTGTTAAAAACCTTGAGCTAATAAAAACACCAGTATGGTTTTCAGTGCCCAGAATCTCCGCCGCAATGACATCTACTACACCGGAGAGGGACAATACATCACCCTCGAGGAGGTTTGTCTTAAACCCGAAGAAGAACGAAGAGAATTGGTGGATCAACTAGACATCTCCAACAAGAAGCTAAGATGGGCAATGCAAGAGTGTGGGGGACAAGGGGAACAGGAAGAAAAAGAGGAGGATAGTGAACCTAACCCACCAGCACCCACACAAGAAAGGGAAAATCCGGAAGGCCGAGATAGAGAGTCCATCAACGAACGCATCCTCGCACAGCTCACCCGGCAAAACCAAATCATGGATGAAGGGTTCTCATCCGTAATCCATGCAACACGAGCATTAGACCAAAGGGTGGCAACAATCGAGGCCATGTTGGGCACACGCGGGGCATCTAGCTCGGGAGCAGGAAACCAAGGCAGACCCAAAACCCTTCCAAACATCACCCCACCAAAGTTCCACTCTACCCCAACAACAACGACATGTGGAGCCACATTTCCTAAATTAGGAGGCCAAAATACGTGACGTCCAGGGGTGAAAGAATGGATCCACGCACCGGCTTTCGGGACGAAGGCTCTCGTAAGGGGGGGAGGGTGTAACACCCCGTGTTACGGCCTCTAACCCAAACTAGTTATTTAATTGCTTACCCTAAAAAGAGAATTAAATTCCATTAATTAACTAAGAAGGGTCCACCATAGACCATGGACCCTTATCCCTAAACAAATCCCTTAGTCCTATAAGAAATAGAAGTAGCAAACCCATACCATCCAGACCCTAATTAGGACTCTTAGATATATAAATAGGGGCATCGGAGGCACCTAGAATACACACCACAATAGATTTCACCACACAAGAATTCCCAAGAATTCCCCACCACCAAACGTAAGAGAAATCAAGAAGAAGAGATCTTAGAGAAAAGAGCCTCAATAGCCAAGGAGTCTAATTAAGGCTAAGAGGTAACCCATGTCTCAACAAATCCTATTTTCTTTGCTATAATCTTCTTCTTTAATTTGGCTTCTTCTCCATGCTTGTGTCTTGATAAATCGTTTATGATAATGATGATATGATCTTGATAATTGATGAGATGATCTTATGTGTTAATCTTGATAATCTTGATGATTATAAGAGGATCTTGATGATTGTGTGATGTTCTTGATAAAACTTGATATTCTTGATCTTAAAGATAAACTATGATTTTGATGATTTGAATATGATTAGAACCCTAGCTTAAATTGGGGATTTCGTATTGTGATATTCTTGATATAATTGGGAGGGATTTCACATGTTCGGGTGTCAATTAGTTTAGAAGTCATGTTAGGAGATGTTCAATATGATTCTTGGTTTAGATCCATTATTTGACTACATGGTGTCGTCGTTTATGTTTTAAAGTGACTAAACATGGTTTCGGGTTCCACGAAAGATCTCGGGACCAAAATATTGAAAAGGAGTCAGTGGGGGGTAGGTGGGGTAGGGAGACCCGCCACCTACCCGCTGCCTAATTCGACATCGCCGGCAGCGGGCAGACGACTACCCGCCGGGCACCCGCTGCCCGGAGGCTTGCCGCCGGCGGGTGGTCCTCCACCCGCTGGATTTTCCCCGCCTTGGGATGTTGGCTTCCCCGTTTGATGTTCCCCAACCCCCGTGGTGTCTCGTCGAACTCCGTTCGTCGTGCCTAAGTCTAGTTTGATGTTTCGGGTACCGTTCGTAGGATAAATGAGTCTTGTGTATTGCATGCTAGTTGAATTGGTACCCCATTGACCTAGGAGAAAGATACATGAACCCTTAGGATATTTCCTAGTATGTGGATGGCCACGCATAGGTTTTCTTTATACGTTTTCTCCCCTCTCCCATTGTGCTAATGTGAATTGCATGTGCTTGCTACGTGATATATATGCATGACTCTCCAATATTGGCTGCGGTCAAATTGGTTTTACATGGACTGCAGTCCACTGACTGAGCTCGTCAGCGGTGTATAGGGCTGCAGTCCACAAAGAGGATCATAGTCCACCGACTGAGCTCGTCAGCGGTGTGTAGGACTATGGTCCGCCGCTGAACTCGTCAGCGGTCTCACAGGGGCTGCGATCCACCGACTGAGCTCGTCAGCGGTGTGTAGGGTCGCAGTCCACAAAGAGGATCACAGTCCACCGACTGAGCTCGTCAGTGGTGTGTAGGACTGTGATCCGGTGTTGAGCTCGTCAACGGTCTAATCGGTTGGCCGCGGTCAACCCTTTCATGCTGCGGTATGAGGTAGGGTGCTGCGGGTCCGTGTTAGCGCTATATGCGCTAACCCTCATGTATGGGCATGCGATTGGTCCCATGGCGCCACCAAAGTATGCTTGTGTGGTAAAGATATTGATTGAAAAATGATATGAATGACATGAAAGTAACCGTGACCTTAGATATATATATATGATGATGTCTTTACATGCTTAATTATAGCTGTTGAATATGCTTATCCCTACTTGTTGAGTCTATTCTCGGTTTTAAAGCTAGAGTCTCCTA